CTTGTTTGAAAATAGTTTTACGCCTATATCTATACGAATGAAGACAGTGTAGGATAATGGGCTACCTCCTGAATAGCCCTATGTTTTTACTGAGGTGTCGATGCTACACCGTCATACCATGTTACGCCAAACTACACCACACCACACCACACCACACCACACCACAACACACCACACCACACCACACCACACCACACCACACCACACCACACCACACCACACCACATCATACTACACCACACCACACCACACCACACAACACCACATCGTACCACACCGCACCGCACCACGCCACATCATATCACCTCGTACCACACCACACCACACCACACCACATCATACCACACAACACCACTCCACGTCATATCACATCACACCGCACCACACCACACCACACCACACCACAAGACACCTCATCACATCATATCACGTCACACCACACCACATCACATCATATCACGTCACACCACACCACATCACATCACACCACAAGACACCTCATCACATCATATCACGTCACACCACACCACATCATATCACGTCACACCACACCATGTCACGCCATGCACTATTGTTCCACACCATGATGTTCGTCCTTCGCAGGGCGAACATGACCTTGACTTCATATCAAAAGTAGGATGGGGTGTGTACGGAGATGGCTGATCGGGCCGATCTTCGCTCGGAAATGTCGATTGCGGTGGGGCAGGGGATATTTGGGGCTGAACTAGAGTGGGAGGTATGACTCTCTCGGTCTTTTCGCAACTGCCGAGTCCATTCTTTGTTTCTGATGCGTCATTTTTAGAACTTTGCAACTCCAGATTATATTCCACACCAGACCGTACCATACCATACTTTACTTGTTCATTCCGTCTAATTTTTTCTTTTAACCCATTCATCATATCATAACACCCCCACCCCTCTCCCTCTCTCTCTCTCTCTCTCTCTCTCTCTCTCTCTCTCTCTCTCTCTCTCTCTCTCTCTCTCTCTCTCTCTCTCACACTTTTATACTTCTATCCTCAGGTCAAAGAGAACAAGGCTTGCAACGAGACCAAACAATGCGTGGACTTCGCCATCTGCCACTCCAGTGACCCGGACAAGCCCTTTGAAGACTTCTGCACGTGTATCGACGGCTACTACCCCATGGACGGTTACTGCCACAAGCAGATCGATGCCGGTCTGGCCTGCAACGATACCATACAGTGCACGGACAATGCCGTTTGCCGAGACAAAGGATCGCGGGGCAGTGTTTGCGAGTGCGGCAGCGATTACTATCAATCTTTCGGGAAGTGCAACCCCCTGGTCCCGGCCGATCTGCCGTGTAAAACTACGGAGATGTGTACCCATAATGCAACCTGTGTGCCGGATGTGCCGGAGAGTTTATGCCGCTGCAATCCGACTTTTTACAAAGAGCTCGGCAGGTGCCGCCGCGAAATCGACGCCGGGTCGGAGTGCAACGGTACTGAACAGTGCACGTCCGACTCCAAGTGTGTGATGAACGCCACGACCGGTGCGAAAGAGTGCGTGTGCAACCTGCCTCACTACAACGAAGACGGCGAGTGTTTAGCGGATATTCCCGCGGGCATCAACTGCGATGCGAGTTATAAATGTACGACCCATGCTTACTGTGAGTTCAACGGGTTTATCCTGGTTTGCAAGTGCTACCCGGAGTACTTCGAGCAGGGAGGGTACTGTGTGAAGAGGAAGAATGTGACGTCACCGTGCACGGCGCCTGGTCAGTGTATCATTGGCGCGGAGTGCGGCTTGGTCAACGGTCGAGCGGAGTGTATGTGTAAGCCCCAGTATTATAGAGAGGACCTGACTTGTGTGAAGAGGGTCCCCCCCGACCAGGAATGTTCTGACGTTGGACAGTGCGTGAAGGACGCTGAGTGCGATTTGAGCTCAGTTGCTGCTGCTTCTTCTTCTTCCTCCTCCTCCTTATCTTCTTCCTCCTCCTCCTTATCTTCCTCCTCCTCCTCCTCCTCGTCCTCCTCATCTGTCGGCGGTAGTAGCACAGGTGTTTGCAAGTGCGATGAAGGCTTCTACATGAACGGCGACTCATGCGAGAAGCTGATCGAGGCGGGGAACGAGTGTGTTGTGGAGGGCTCGTGTATCCCCGACGCCGAGTGCTCACCGGTTCCCGGGGGGAGAGTCTGCCTCTGCCGGCCCCAGTTCTATCAGGAAGGCTCGCAGTGCGAGCGAAGAATCAACGCGACCAACCCCTGCGTGAGAAAAGACCAATGCGTGGCGAACGCCGAGTGCGTGAAGGATAACGAGAACATGTTCGGACCGCTAGCCACGATGTCTTGTCAGTGCAAGGAGGGCTTCTACACGTCCGGACAGCTGCAATGCGAGCCTGTGAAGAACGCCTCCGTGCCGTGCTCAGAAGTAGGTCAGTGCATCCCCGGCGCTGAGTGCATGGGCCAGCCCGGCCGTGAGGTATGCACGTGCGTGGAAGATTTCTACCAGGACGGGAATCTGTGCTACCGGCTGAAGAACGCCAGCCTCCCGTGTTCGAATCTCGGACAGTGTATCCCCAGCGCCGAATGCCTCGGGTTTTCTCCGTCCGTCAACGGAACCTGCACCTGCAGAACTGGATTTTATCAGGACGGGCTGGAGTGCCAAGACCTCAAAAACGCCAGCACACCTTGTGAAGGCAGCGAGCAGTGTATCTTTGGAGCTAAATGTCGTGCTGTAGGAAGGAAAATGCTTTGCGTGTGCGATGCGGGTTATTACGAAGACGGTAGCCACCTGTGTCAAGATCTCATCAACGCGAGTCTACCTTGTAGCGGACCTGGACAGTGCATCTCCGGCGCCAGCTGTGTGTCAAGTGTGGGCGACCTTGGACTTGACCTTGACCCCTTGACCTCCTCTTGTGAGTGCGACCTAGATTTCTACGAGGACGTCAACAATCTTTGTCAACCTCTAGTCAACGCGAGCTCTCCTTGCTATGAGGACAGGGAGTGTATCGTGGGTGCCGACTGCAAGCCAGACGGGACTGGAACCCGAACCGTCTGCACGTGTAGGCAGGGGGTTTATTACGAGGACGAGTTGAATATTTGTCGGCCCCTCATCAACGCGAGCGACCCTTGCCGGGAAGTAGGTCAGTGTATATTCGGCGCCGAGTGCGAGAGAGACAGAAGGACGGGGCAGCTGGAGTGTGAATGCCAGGCCGGGTTTTACGAGGATCCGACCGACCAGTCGTGCAGGGAGCTGAAGAACACCTCGATGACCTGCCAGTGGGATGACCAGTGCGTGGACGGGGCCAGGTGTGTGGTGGAGGACAACAACGACGGCGGACTGACCGCTACCTGCCGGTGTAACCAGCTGCTGTATTACGACGACGGGCTGCTGTGTCAGAGCCGCATCAACGCCACGCAGCCGTGCTCGGAGAGCGGTCAGTGTATACAGGGAGCGGCGTGCAAGCCTACTTCTATCCCCACCACCAGCGTCGTCGTCGTCGTCCCGGGTTCGAATCTCGTTTGTCAGTGCGAGGACGGGTTCTACGAGGAGGGTTTGTTGTGTCATCCGCTGAAGAACGCCTCGGAATCCTGCTCGGCCAAAGGTCAATGTGTTGCGGGGGCGGAGTGTAAAGGTGAGGTTGGCGACGCGAGGTGCACGTGTTTAGAGGATTTTTATCAGGACGGTCCGACTTGCGAGCCGCTGAAAAACGCGACGTTCCCTTGCGAGGACACTCGAGAGTGCATCCGAGAAGCGAGGTGCGAACTGGAGTCCTTCGGCATGAAGTCGTTTTGTCAGTGCAGGAAGGGATACTACGAGGAAGATCAGGCGTGTCGGGTGGTGAAAAATGCAACGGTTCCTTGTTATGACGTAGGCCAGTGTATCGACGGGGCGGAGTGCGTCATGAACGTGACGTCACAGGTGATGACGTGCGACTGTCTGAGCTCTCACTACCGAGACGGTTTGCGGTGTTTCCCGTTGATCAACGCGTCACGGGACTGTACGGCCGAGGGCCAGTGCGTACCCGGTGCGGAGTGTGTGCCCCTCGCAGACCCGATGGTGACCGGCGATAACATTATTATGCAAATGAGATGCGAATGCCTCCAGGGCTTCTACCAGAACGGAGACCTGTGCAGTCCCCTCATCAACGCCACCGACCCGTGCACGGGTCAAGGTCAGTGTATTTTTGGCGCAGAGTGCGGCGGAGTTGGAGGCGGTGCTGCCTCCCGCACGGCCATCACTTCGGGAAATCCCGCTGTGACGCCACAGGGGAATTCCCTGATGACGTCGTTATCGGGAAACCCCGGTATAGTCTGCGAGTGCGTAGAAGGGTTTTACGAGGAAATGGAGATTTGCAAGCGTCTGAAGAACGCGAGTGACGAGTGCTCTAAAGATTACGAGTGCCTAGAGGGCGCCAAGTGTCTGAGACCCTGGGACGCACAAACGTGCATGTGTGTTGGGGAGTACTTTCAGTACGATAGAATCTGTAAGAAGTACGTCAACGCTACGGATCCGTGCGATGACAAGGACATGTGCATCGAAAACGCCGTCTGCCTCAAGAATCGCTTGGGGGAATCGTTCTGCAGGTGTACGGACGATTACTACTCGGAAAACGAAGTGTGTCGTAAGAGAATCGATGCCGGTCTGCTGTGCGAAAAGAACGGCACCTGCATCTTGGGCGCAGAATGCTCCACCGATAACATTTGCTCCTGCGTGGAAGGTTTTTACCAAGAGGGCTTGGATTGTCTCCCCCTGATTAACTCGTCCCTCCCCTGTGACGTCACAGAGCACTGTGTCGCGAACGCCGACTGCGCAGGGAGCCCGCCCGAGTGCCGATGTCGCCCGGGATTCTTCGAGACGAACGGCAAGTGTAAAAAGAGTATCGATGCCGGCGACAACTGCGATCGCCCCGGGACGTGCACCGATTACGCCGAATGTGACGTCAACGGGGGGAACATCTGCGTCTGCTTCGAGGGCTACTACGAAGAGACGGGGGACTGCAAGAAGAGGGTCTTGCCGGAGGAGGCGTGTTCAGATTTCGGGCAATGCGTCACCAACGCCGAGTGCGATTTGAGAGATCTGGTGTGTAAGTGCGAGCCTGGGTTCTACACGTACATGGGTCAGTGCAACCCAAAGAGAGATGCCGGGGAGAGGTGTGAGATGACCATTCAGTGTACTGACCACGCCAGATGCGCGGTGGACACTTCTGACGTCTGCGAATGTCTCCCGGACTTTTACCAAGACGGAACGCGCTGCGTGCCCCGGGTCAAGGTCGCAGCTGCGTGTAACTCCACCTTGCAATGTGTAGCTAACGCTTTGTGTGACACTGGGGCAGCGAATGCGGACTCTTCTGTCGCCTGCGCGTGTCGGGAAGGCTTCTACACCAAAGATGGCCGCTGCTATGACGTGATAGAGGCCGAAAAACCTTGTGAAGTCGGCCTAGTGGCTCAGTGCGTGGAGAATGCGGAGTGTGACGCGGCCTCCAGCCTGTGTAAGTGTGACGTGGGCTTTTATAACGACTCAGGTGGCGCGTGCAGACAGCTCGTTCCTCACGGCGGATCGTGTGAGCGGACAAGAGAGTGCGTGGCGAACGCCAACTGCTCCAGGGCGAGTCTCCTGTGCGAGTGTCTTCCCAGGTTTTACCACGACGACAAGGGGGAGTGTCGGAAGCTGATAGAGGTCACCGGAACTTGTAACACGTCACGTCAGTGTGTGTACAACGCCAGCTGTGACGTAGACCTCAACGAGTGTTTGTGTGACGTGGGCTTCTACGAGTCTTACGGTCAGTGCGAAACTCTGATTGACGTGGGAAACGCTTGCAACTATACTGCACAATGCACTTTCAACGCCAACTGCTCGAGCGCGACAGGCGAGTGCCAGTGCGAGTATGACCATTACAGTAAAGACGGAAAATGTCGGGATCGGGTCACCGCAAAAGACCCTTGCTCGGACTCTCGACAATGCACGCATAACGCCGTATGCTCTCCTCTAACCAACCGCTGCGACTGCGTCACTGGTTACTATGACGACGCGTTTGGATTTTGCGTTGATCTCCTAAACACGGGACGCTCGTGCAACGAGTCCAGACAGTGCACGTTTAACGCCAGCTGCTCCACCATCACCCAGACGTGTGAATGTGACGTGGGCTACTACAGAAATGACAGACTCGGATGTTCCGAGTTGGAAAAAGCGGAATCCCCGTGCGAGGAAACGAGACAATGTACCTTTAATTCTGACTGCGTCATCACATTCCCGTATGGGGATAAACTTTGCAAGTGCAGAAAAGATTTTTACGAAAACGACGGCAAGTGCCCAGAACTCGTTCCCGCCTCGGGGAAATGCAACACGAGTCGCCAGTGTACTCACAACGCTTCGTGCGACTCGGCCTCCGGAGTTTGCCGGTGTCTTCCGGACTTTTACGAGGACGATTCGGGCGGCTGCAGGCGGTTGTTGCGTTCCGGCGTGGCGTGCAACGTCACGAAACAGTGTGTCCGAAACGCCAATTGTAAGGGGGACCCGGCTCGGTGTGAGTGTCTACCGGGCTTTTTCTACGATCAGGGTTTGTGCACCGATTTGTATAAAGTTGACGAGAGGTGTAACAACACGAACCAGTGCGTGAGCCATGCCGAGTGCGCTTGGAGCTTCCCGCTCGGCCGAGTGTGTAAATGTAAGGCGGACTACTACAACCAGAGCGGTACCTGCTTGAAGAAAGTCGAGGCTGGGTTCGATTGTTCGGAGACTCGGCAGTGCACGAATCACTCGATTTGTTCGACGAGTTCGAATACATGCGAGTGTTTGTCCGATTACTATAACGATACGGGTGGGTGCGTGGAGCGAATACCCGCCGAAGGGAGGTGTGAGAAGGATTACCAGTGCACTCACAATGCTGCGTGTGATGAGAAAGGCGTCTGCGCGTGCGCGATGGACTACTACAACACCACAGCTGGGGAGTGTGTGAAGAGAGTGAAAGCGGAAGAGGACTGTCTCAATACTCACCAGTGTACTCATTTCGCGGTTTGTGACCGATACACCGATACTTGTAAATGCCTTCCCGATTACTACAACCAGTCCGGGGAATGTCTGAAAAGAATCGGTGCCAACGAGAACTGTGAAGAAACTCATCAGTGCACTTGGAACGCGATGTGCAGTGGAGTCGGGGTTTGTGAGTGTTTGGAAAACTTTTATAACGAGACCGGGGTGTGTAAGGAGAGGGTGGTCGTGAACGGTCGCTGTTCGAACACTCAGCAGTGCACACAGTACAGCGAGTGTGACGAGACGCTGAGCGTGTGTAAGTGCCTTCCGGACTTTTACAACACATCAGGCGTGTGTGTCAAGCGTGTAGAGGTGGACAGCACGTGTCAGAGGTCACACCAGTGCACGCAGTTCGCCACGTGCGAGTTCCCGGGGTTGTGCAAATGCCTGCCTTCCTACTACAATGACACGGGTTTGTGCGCGGAAAGAGTTCCGGTCCAGCAGCCATGCGACAGGTCTCACCAGTGCACGGCTCATGCCTTTTGCTCCTCGTCCGGACATTGCGAGTGCGACCCGGACCACTACAACTCTACGGGGACGTGCGAGAAGAGAAGCGAAGTGGGCGGGGCTTGTGACTTCTCCCACCAATGCACCGCCCACTCGACGTGCGATCCCGTTTTGGAAACGTGCCAGTGCGAGCCGAGCTATTACAGCGAACTGGGAAGATGTGTTTCTCGTAAGGTCGTGGATGAGAAGTGTTTCGGCACTCACCAGTGCACGCGCAACGCAAGCTGTGTGCTCCTCACGTGCAAGTGTGACCAGGAGTTCTACAACCAATCAGGCGCCTGCATGCCACGCGTGGGGGCGGAGCGAGCCTGTGAGACCACCCACCAGTGCACGAGCCACGCCTCTTGCGACCCGCTGACGTCACTGTGTAAATGTCACCACGAGTTCTTCAACGAGACCGACGGAGCGTGCAAGAAAAGAGTTCCAGTCGGCGAGCCGTGTGGAGAGGGCTACGAGTGCACCCACAACGCCCTCTGCTCCGCCACATCCGGGACATGCGAGTGTGAGCACAAGTACTATGACGAGTTTGGGTTGTGCAGAGAAAGGGTCAACGCTTCGGGCGACTGCAGACAGTCGTACCAGTGCACGCATTTCTCCTTCTGCGACAAGTTCTCAGACACGTGCACGTGTGTGCCGGAGTACTACAACCAATCGGGACAGTGCCTGCCTCGCAGGAAATCCGGGGAACCTTGCGATTTCACCCACGAGTGCACGCACCACGCAGATTGTGATGACGTCAGAGGCGTGTGCGAGTGCCACGCGAACTATTACGACATGTCCGGTTTGTGTTTGGATAAAAAAGCGGCCGGGATGAAGTGTGAGAGAACGGATGAGTGTACGAAGAACGCGTTCTGCGACAGCGACTCGAGTACGTGCAGGTGTCTGAAGGAGTTCTACAAAGAGCAAGGGCAGTGCTTAGAGCGCGTGCCCGTGGAGGTGAACTGCCGCGGTTCGTACCAGTGCACGCACAACGCGACCTGCTCCAAGCTGGAAGACGTGTGCAAATGTCTGCCGGAGTTTTTCCACCGGTCCGGGCGGTGCTTCGATCGCGTGGCCGCCAGAGAGGCGTGTAACGCGACTGAGGAGTGCACACAACACGCGCTCTGCGACCTCGACACGCGCACGTGCGAGTGTGAGTTTCATTACTTCAACGATAGCGACGGGGCGTGTCGGGAGAGGATCCAGGCCAAAAAGCCGTGCTGGGACTCTTACAAATGTACTCACAACTCGGTGTGCGACCGTGAGAGCAGCACGTGCGAGTGTGAGCACGAGTTCTATAACGATACGTCAACGGGGATGTGCGTGAAGAGGAAAAAGGCCAACACGCGGTGCTCGGAAAGCTTCGAGTGTACTCACGATTCCACGTGCGACGAGCTCACGGCGAGGTGTCTGTGCCTGGAATCCTTCTACAACACAACGGACGGCGAGTGCAGGCAGCGTGTCAACGCGTCACAGCCGTGTAGCGCTACACACCAGTGTACACACTTCGCCGCCTGCTCTGACGTCACGGGGACCTGCGAGTGCGCCGACTCGCACTACAACGAGGGCGGACTGTGTCGGAGCCGAGTGCCCGTCGCGAATACCACGAGCATCGGAGGGGGCTGTGAGCAGTCGTACCAATGCACGCGCGACGCTGTGTGCGAGCCGTACTCGAGACGCTGTGTCTGCCTGCCAAGCTTCTACAACGAGTCCGGAGCGTGTAAAGAAAGATCTGCGTCGGGCGAGTATTGTAGAGAGGACTACCAATGCGTTCAGAACGCGACCTGCAACCTGTTGGCCCGAAAATGTGAGTGTTTACACGGTTTCTATGACGACGCCGGGGGTTTCTGCAAAAAGCGGATCGACGCAGGAGAGCCGTGCGATGAAACGAAACAATGCACGTTCAATTCCCGGTGTGCGTTGAACGGGGGTGCTGCCACTGGGGGTGGGGGTG